TATATATATATATATATATATATATATATATATATATGGACGCATATGCATGTGGGTGTGTGACTGTATTTAGATACGAACATAGAGAGATAGAGATAGAGAGAGATAGAGAGAGAGAGAGAGAGAGAGAGAAAGAGAGATTAAAGAAGAAAAAGATAAAGAGGAATCTGATAAATGCGGGAAAGGTAGTAGAAAATCGAGATATTTGAGGTAGCTTGAGTACTTAGAGAAAGCGAGAGAGTGGAAGTGAAGAGCCGTTGCTATAGATTCAGGAACACGTTGTTGGTGGAAGGTCGGAAGTTTGATGGCGTACGGCCGGCAATAGAGCCACCGCACCTGGGAAAACCATTTCCTTCGGTTAATCGAAACGTTCCTTACTGCCCGTCTCTTACTCACTCACTCGCTCGCTCACTCACTTACACACGCGCACGCCCGCGCGCGCGCACAGAGAGAGAGAGAGGCACAAACATATATATATATATATATATTTACACACACATACACACACACACACACACACACACACACTCTCTCTCTTTCTCTCTCTATCTCTATATGTCTCACTCTCGCACCCCGACTTCTATGTCTGTACATCTACCACCTTCTGGCTGTAGGATAAGGTTAGACTCCTTCTGGCCAAGAGAAATACTAAGCTTAGATGGACAGAATTTTATAGGAAGCTACACGGAAATTCGAAATTGGAAGAAGTTATGTGCACATATACATCGAAAATAAGTCTACTTATTGGTTTTTTTTATTTATCTTTGGTCAATTTGAAAAATCTTACGATTATACATAAAAATTGTTCTCATCATATAATCGAATAATATTTATTTCTATTTCAGTTCAAATGGAATAGATAAGATGAAAAAATGAGAGAAAAAAAGAGGAAAAATAGAAATTTTATTTCATTAGAAATTAGAAATTAAGTAATCAAAATAATTTTTCTTAAAACGATGAATTAGATAAACCAATGTACGAAACAAATAAATATTGACCAATAAATTTATAAAATTAATCTTCTGCAATGAATATTTTTTCACGACATTTAACAATATTTATAAATTGTGGTAAATAATTATTTTGTATGTAAGTATTTTTATATATTGTTGATATGTATTTATCGTCAAATATTGAGTTATACTACTCGATTATTATTTATTAAATTATCACTTATTAAATTATGTATTTAATAAGGTTATCAAATGTAAAATTTAAGTCTCTTAACGATTATCACATCTTGTTTAATTAATAATATTTCTATTATGTTATAAAATAAGAGTATATATATATATATATATATATATATATATATATATATATATATATAAAGTTTAGGTTATATATACTATTTTATTGTAAATTAATCATAAAATTTATTACATTACATATATATTTCAGATAATATTGCATTATGTTATGTAGTGATCTTCTTCATATTAGAATAAAAATTGAATGTTTATCTCATTGTTATTATAAACTCATTATTAATAAACTTACAATAAAACAAGTTTCCTGAAAAATAAATTACTTTGATATTATTTAAAATGGGGAGGAAATAAACTTTATGTCGATATATAATCGTTCTTGTATACTTGTATAAATATATAATTGTAAATGCATAATCCACTGAATTTAAGTAAAGAGTTTATTAAATCATTGATGTGGTATTCAATAACTTCAGAAACGGCATTGTATTTAATCATAAACTTTAATCAAGACTCTAAATTTCTTATCCTAAAATTATCCAATTAACTTTAAATTTGTGTCGTCCACATAATATATGATAACACGAGACGATATACCTGAGTCCCGGAACAGCGTTAACCGTCCTCTGATCCGGGCTGGTGATCCACGTAACGTGGGTGGTGGGACTGCCATGGGCGGAGCAGCTCAGTTGTGATCCCGTAGTATTCGAAAAGACGAGTGTACTCGGCGGCTCCAAGACGAAAATCGGTCCCTGCTGCCCCAGTGCCGTTCCTGGTAGCCATGCTGAAATCACGGGGACGTTAAATTTAATGGGTCATGAATATACGAAAATGATTACGTCGAGTGATTTCCTTGCGCTTTACAGACCGTGAGCTGAACGTCATAGTTGTGGGATGAAATTAAAGAAGTTGGGGAATATCGCGCAGGCAAGATCTGGAAATGGCAAAGATGTTGGGAACCAATGAACTGAGAAGAAACTCTCCGCGGACGTGAGATGAAAATGTAATGCGCCCCTTTTCAAGCACGCCGGGGGCTCAAATTATCTCTATTTCTAAGTTTTTTTTTCTCTCCACGTGGGAATCAATGGATGGGGAGCTGATTAAATGGGATTTTATTTGTGATTATATTTGTCGCGTAAATTATTTAGTCAATAAATCTCGCCGACTCTATTCACTTATGTAAGCTCTGGTTAAAAAGAGCGCTTGGCTTGTTCGAGCTCGCGTTCAAACAATTTTCAGCCTTATAGAGTCGTTAAATTTAGATTTTTTATCGTTAAAATGAGAAAGTATTATATGTCGGGATAAATGGTAGGCAGTTACATTTTTGTTGGCGCCCGTAAACATCGTCCAGAGATTAGTTGAATTTTTCTATTTTTCTCACCTTACCGCAACGACCTCAACGGCCTTTCAAATACGAAAGCGCGAAAATATCGCCATTGGTGGGCGTTGATATCTTTTTGACATAGACGTAAGTATAGATTGTCCGATATTATCCGACTTAGCGTACCCAGCGGATCATTTTTCCGTAAAAAAAAAAAACAAAAAAAAGTTTGTTAACCTTCATTACTAGCACATTAGGAGTCATTAGTGCATTGTTTAAGTGGATCGTGAAAGCTTTTGAAAGATTCATTTTTTGCTACTCAAATCTTATAAAATGGGCTATTTAATTTTCAATTCTTCAAAAAATCATGAATAGATAGATTAGAGGATTAGAATGTTTCTAATAAATATCATTAATTTATAATAAAAAAATGTTTCATCAGTACTTTTATTATTTCTTGATATATACACATATTTTTCTTTACCATTAAATAACTACTTAATCTTCTTCACTTGCTAATAAGAATTTAAATAGATACTACAATCAATTATGTGTTTGCAGATACTTGAAATTATTTCTCAAGTAATTGCTTAATACATAATAGAAAGGTCAAAACTTATTGAAATATATTTTATATTTGACTTTTATATTCACGGCGTCTAATATTTACTTAAATTATAATTATCATTTGATTTTTAAATAGGCAATAAGGTCACTGAATTTATAGTACATAGAATGTCCAATATATCTTATTATTTATTATGGAAAATCATTAATAATACTTCAATGGAATTTCAATACTATTTTCTCCTTGTCGAATCACATTAGCGACAATTTACATTCTTCAATTTCAAATGTAACATATGTGCGTAATATTTAATCAATGTCGCTTTGTACAAATGAAAACACACTCTTACTTTTCAAGTTGCGGGTGGAAAATGTTGAAGGAAGTTTGCGTTGAATATTTAAAATACAGAATAAAATTATCGAAACAAAATTTCAGCAAAATAACCAATCACCAATATCAAAAATACACGGACGGCTGTCCGAGACATAAATAACATTTTGGAGGAAATAAGAGCGATAAATTAGGATCCGTTGCATCTGCGTCCATTACCATTCTCTCATTTTTTCGGCTTCGTATCTGCGTTGCGCATTCCCCTAGCCAATGACGTATACCATTATACATTCCATATCCGACAACTGTAGCTTTTTATATTTCATATCGAGAATTCGAAAAAACCGCGCAGCAATGTCGCGAATCCTAAGAAAACACGACGTGCCCATAAACTCCTGCTGGCCTCCCGCAATTCGCACGAACTTCCTTCGATTCGATGCACGTTCGCTCACATCCTGAACGTGCATCCTTTCGGCTCCTCGGCTTATTCCCGCTCACTATTGCGTCTTCTTCGGCCTGCCTCTGTCGCAAATTCACGCGAAATTCACCCGCAGAAAGCAGTTTTACGCTTTCGTCGGAAAGTTCCGAGCCGCTCGCTATCTGCCGCGTCAGCAGCCACCCCCGAGCCCTCATTTTGCGAACAATCGTCCTGCCGAAGGAACTTTTGACACAATCGGCTACTTTCATGCAAATTTTGCGATGGCTTGGTCGGTTGCACATCTCCGACTCGGTTTTTTGCAAGTTAAAGTTTTTTTTCTCGCCGGGGATCGCTACATCCTACGTATTGTCGAGATTAACTCATCTGTATGAACAACTACTGTACCTACAACGCAAACAACGAAATAAAGTTGCACTTTTGCCGGACGTTGAATATGATAATACGTTATTTACATACTTATTGGTAAACATTTTATCAACTAAGTTTATAGTAGTTTATAGTAGCTTGTACTTTGACTTTTCGAAAACAGTTTTATAAACATCTTTCAAAGTATTATATTGATCGGAAAATTTGCCGGCTACACGATTATAGAACAAACATTTTTTAAATATATTTTTTTTTCAAATTGATAAAATACACACACACACGCGCGCGCGCGCGTACATATAAACACAATTATTAATTATCATTATTACATTAATGATTATATACAAGTATAAGGTGGTCTTAACGTTTTTGTTATTTTTATTTCTTGGAATATAAAGTTTTGCGATGCAAGTCGAAATAAATTATTTCTAATAATAATCATCGATCCTGACATGGTCAAGGGAGTAAAATAAAAAATTATTTATCGTATGCTGCGTTATAAAGTAACATATCAAAAGTTGTCGGTGCATACGATTAGAGTGCTAGAAAAAAAAAAAAAAAAACGAAAATAGAATAGAACTCGACTAGGAAGATAATAAAAAGTGTTCATTGAACAGCAATTGGGAGTAAAGTGAACGACGTGCAAAAATATGAAAAAGTACGTTGTAGAGATTTCGTAGTGAATTGTTGCATGTAACTAAACCCTGCGAGAAGTTGTGTCAGGAAATCTTGGAAAGCTACTAGCGATCTTATGTACCTGGACTTTTCTTTCTAAATACGTGCGTACCTACGACTCTTTCTCACAGAATTCCTTTTCCTTGGAAGAGCGAATTTTATTGGACTGTTGTGTCACTGTTTACCACTATATAGCTTTTATTTTCTTTCGTTACTGCTAGTAGTAGAGTTTCATGTCCAAAGTCCGCACAAAGCGAAATAAACTTTTGCTTTATTTTTTGAAAAATGGATGAAGCGTGTGCTGTGGAAAATTACATTTTTAATGTATTCCACTCAACGTTCATCGCATTCCATCCTACAATTGTCTAGAAAATCTCATATACGGTATAAATTACTTTTGCCTTTAATCGTCGATGTTATTAATATAAGTTTCATTCGCTTTAAAATGTATTTACCTTATGTATCTTGATTGTAAACAATAAGAACTTAGGATTTTAAATTCTCGAAATTTAAACCTTACAATTAATAACTAGATGAATATATAATGATAACAAGAACCTGTGAAAGCCATTTACGAAGCAGAAAAAAAAATTATAAAATCCGATATATTTAAAGATTTATTCCTTTGTAAAATACAACCCTTCACAAACATCCGCATATGGATAATAGTAAAATATTTTAATATTTATCATTGTAGAAATGCCGACTTTTGATAATAGTTAATCGCCGAAATTTTTATAATTAAATTATCTATTTATTTAACGAAATTGAATATAAATTAAAAATTGAATAATACATTTAATATTTCGTGATTTTATTATTAAATTTTTATTTGTTCGAATCATTTAATTAAACAAAGTTACTTTTGATTAATAATACAGATTTTATTTCAAATATAACTAAATGATGGACGATGATTCATAATGTTGTACATTATAAAAAATAAACTTTATTTTGCTTTTCTTTGTCACGTATATTCGTAAAATATAATTGTACGCACACAGAATGTACTTTTATCAATTATTTTAAATTACATATGTGATTTATAATCTTAGAAAGGTGTAAAGTTATTTGGCATTTATGAAAATTTAATATAGACAGCAACATTATTAGAAATAATAGAAATAATTCATAGAAATTTTCACATTCTTTTAATGAGAGATTTGATATTACAAAGCTTGAATATTTTTAAAATATTTGTAAATTTATCTATTTTATCCCCCTTTTTCTTTTTTTTAACACCAATTTACGACTCTTTAATATCAGATTTCTTTTACAACATTACGTTAATTTAATAACGTCAGCAATTTAACGCAAGACTCTATGGCAATACTTTTGACAAGTCACGCAAACTGCATAAAAATGATCCACACTGTTGATATAATAATGGCACATGGAAGAAAAAGAAGTCGGTAACCAATTCTAACGTAGTGCAAAAAGTATCTTTATGTTCTCTGAAGTCTTAGATGAAAAAAGCTGTCGTGTTTCCCGTTCTCGGCTTCCTCGGAGTTGTCAGTGAAGGCGGAAATTTCAGCTCCATAGAAAGCATCGAAAGAGAAGCGGGGGGGGGGAGCGGGAGGAGGAGAGGACGCGCTATGGGGTGGAAAAAGTTGCTTCCCATCACATGCCGAGGGGAAAATGTATCGGAATTCGAAAGAGGCGAGTAGCGACTACGTAGGCCATCGGCCCTGTTTACCACCACTGCTCACAGTCACGGACACTCGCCTGTTTTTACGACTTACATTTGCGCTCCTTTGACACGCGCGGCAATACGACACTGCCACCGACAACGACAATACTTTCGTAAAAACAATGCCGGCGTGTACGGGCCCCTGAAGAGCCCCACCACTACATTCGAACAATGTATGCGTCCGCATACGTGACCGTATAAAGACCAGCACTACCTTAGTACAGTCACCAGGGAAAATATTTACTGATACCACCCTTTTCGCCTATTGTTGTTTTTTTTTTTGTTTTATCCCCGACAGTTCCGGCTCTACCCTTTCACTCAGATATATTTCGTTTCTTTCATCACTCAGTTTCAGCTCTGAATTATGTTCTCATTTTTATCCCTTTCATAACTTT